CACATACATGTATATACACATACATGTCACATATATTATAAAATACATATGTACACATACATAATACATGTATTTATACATATATACATATACATAGATAGTTTTGAAGAAAAAAAAAAATCTAGTCCTAGTCCAAGCATACACAAAACGCAGGATAAGTGTTATCCAACTTAGACCAAGCCAAGCCAAGCCAAGACAGTCCCTAAGCATAGTCCATGCCAAGACAGTCCTGTGTACCAAACGAGCCCTAAAAGTTTTCCCTTTTTGCCGCTGCACCCTCCCGCTCTGCAATCTCCGCTTCTGGGCTTTGACTTTCTTGCACTCTCTACCCTTCCGCTTTCATTTCATGCTCGATTTCTTCTGTTCAGTTCATTCTCAGCCAAATAGACATCTGTAGACTAGTTCTGTCCAACTCTTAAACAGTTACAGCTCTGCCTCTTCTTCTGTGTCACTGTAAGTTGTGAGAGCCTTGAATTTCAAATCCATCTAAGATGTTGAATTTGCTCTGAAGAAATAGCAACAAGATCTGCATATTTACTCTGCATGAGGAGCCCTGCATACAAACACAGCCGGCCATTTTTCCTTATCTCTTCGCTCGTATTGTGAGAATAATTGTATATATTTGAAGTTTTGCTAACCGGAAGAGGTGGTTGTGGTGGATCGAGTCGGATCGACGCAGATCAAGCAAAATCAAATGGAATTGGATCGCAACCAAGCGTCGAAGCGGATTTTAGGGTTGTCAGCGATAGAGCGGATTCTACTGGAGTATTATGAGATTGAATCCAATCCCTCCGACGATTTCAAGTGCGGCGTGCTCGAGCGGAACATATCCGAATGGCAATTTGCCGTCAGAGGTGCTAGTGGAACTGAATTCGAGGGTGGGATTTATCATGGGTTGGTCCTGTTTCAGAGGGAATACCCATTTAAGCCTCCTTCAGTCATACCTTTGACGGAAAATGGTCGCTTCAAAACCTGTACCAAGATCTGGATAAGGCGACTGAATGAATGGCAGCCATCATGGAGGGTGCGAGATGTTTTCGTTGATTTTATTCATTTAATGCCCACCTACCCAGATGGTGAATTGGGTTCATTAGAATACAATAAGGAAGAAAGGCGTGCCCTGGCCATCAAATCTCGTGCAGCAACGCCAAAATATGGCAAATTTGCACGTCAGCAGGTAATTGAGCAGATTCATGAATATATGCTAAGCAAGTCACCACCTGTTCCTGTTCCGGAACTCCAAATGACGAGATACACTCCGTGTCAGGTCAGCAATCCACCTGTCAATTATGTTAACTTCTTTTTACCTCCGTTTTCTTTTTCTTTTATTTATTTAGTCTATCTATGAACAAAACAGAAAAACGAGTTTAAGAAAAAAGAGTTTAAAGGGAAGGGGCTTACATGGGTTTGACAGAGAAGATATATATGGATATATGTATATGTATTTATTTTACTTAGGGTCCTTTTTGCGGTAAAAAGTGCTTGGGTTTTTACAATCCAAGTTTTTCTTTCATAACAATTTGTAAAATTTGTGAGAGATTAGTTGGAGGAGGGTGGCAATGGAGCCAAAAGAAAGCAGCACGGTACAGTAGCCTATGTCGTCAATGTTGTTGGGAATACATTTATTAATGCTACCAATTCTGACGGGGTGGGAATTTTGGGTTCGAAGAATGAGTACCTCTACAAATCCCCTAAGAAAGCAAAACTATTTAATCATATTTACTCTGCATGACTGGCCCTACCTATAAACAGACACCGCCTATCTTTCCTCATCTCTTCGCTTCGTATTTTGAGAATAATTGTATATTTAAAGTTTTGTTAACGGGAAAGTCAAGTTATAATGGTGATCTGGGAGTTCATCTCTTTGATAATGCCCCTGAGTGGGTGGGCCCAACTCTCGCAGATGATATTGCTGGGGTTCACAGAACCCGTCTAGTTTGTATTAATCTTGTTTAAGTGTTGCCTCTGGGGCTTGGCCCCCCTAGCTCATCCAAAAAAGTTTTGTTAACAGAAAGAGGTGGTTGTGGATCAAGTCAGATCAATGCAGATGGAATCGGATTGGAATGTGATAGCGGAGGGCAGGTGCCCCATAAAGAACGTAGGGGAGAAGCGGATTCTAGATGAGTATAATGAGATTGAGATTGAATCCAATCCCTCCTACGATTTCACATGCCGCAAGCTCGGGTGGAACAAATATGAATGGCAATTTGCAATCAGAGACCCTAGTGGAACTGAATTCGAGGGTTGGATTTATCATGGGGCGGTCCAGTTTTCAGTGGGATACCCATCGAAGTCTCCTTCAATCATGTTTTTGACGGAAAATAGTTGCTTCAAAATCCAAAGAATCAGCATGTCATAAAAAAAAATCCAAATCAGCATGTCATAAAAAAAAATCCAAACCAGCATCTGCTTAAGGCTATTATGGAACTGGCAGTCATCATGGAGTGTGCGAAAAACTTTACTTATATTTATTGAGGAAACTCCATCACGGAGTGTGCGAAAAACTTTACTTATATTTATTGAGGAAACTCCATCACGGAGTGTGCGAAAAAATTTTCTTACATTTATTGAGGAAATGCTTGCCTACCCAAATGGTGAATTGTTTTCTAGGCGGGATCTGGCCATCAAATCTCGTGCAGCAACCCCAAAATATGGCACTTTTACACGTCAGCAGGTAACTGATCAGATTAATCCAAATATGCTAAGCAAGGCACCACCTGTTCCTATTCCTCAACTCCAACCGACGGGAAACACTCCGTGTCAGGTCAGCAATCCACCTGTCAATTATTTTGACTTCTTTTTACCTCCTCTTCCGTTCTCTCTCGCTGCAACCCTCTTCGTTTTATTTTATTTATTTATTTATTTAGTCTACCTGTGAACAAAACAGAAAAAAGAGTTTAAAAATCTGAGCTGCGATTTCGGGGAAGGGGTTTACATGGGGTGGACAGGGAAGATATATATCGATATAAATCTGGCTCGGGATGTGATAGCGGAGGACAAGTGCAACATAAAGAACTCAGGGGAGAAGCGGATTCTAGGGGAGTATAATGAGATTGAATCCAATCCCTCCCACGATTTCAAGTGCCTCAAGCTCGCGTGTAACAAATATGAATGGCAATTTGCAATCAGAGGCCCAAGCGGAACTGAATTCGAGGGTGGGATTTATCATGGGGTGGTCAAGTTTTCAGAGGGATACCCATCGAAGCCTCCTTCAATCATGTTTTTGACGAAAAATGGTCGCTTCAAAATCCAAACCAACATCAGCTCAAGGCTGTTATCGAACTGGCAGTCACCAAGGAGCGTGAGAAATGCTTTACTTACACTTATTGAGGAAATGCCCACCTACCCAGATGGTGATGAAGAATTCGATTCAGTAAAATACAATAAGTACAATAAGGAAGAAAGGCGTGCCCTGGCCATCAAATCTCGTGCAGCAGCCCCAAAATATGGAACTCCTGAATGTCAGAAGGTAATTGATGTGATTCATCAATATATGCTAAGCAATGCGCCACCTGTTCCTCAACCCCAACTGAGCAGCCCCTCGCAGACCTCCAAACAGCATGAGCATTTTTATTTCCAAAATCATGGAGCCAAAAGAAAGCATGGCATTTTGCGTTCGATGAATGAGGCCCTCGACCCCATGATAACCAAAAACAATTGGGTTTTCTTTTTCGTCAGTACTTTTTTGCTTTCATCAATACTTTTTGGATTTTGGTCGTCACGCCAAGAGTGATGAACTGACAGAGGTGATCTCGTCCTTTCATTTCCTTGCTGGGGAGATAATTCCTCCTGTAATATTATAAATTATAACAAAAAAATAGATACATATATGTGTGTGTGTGTATTTTTGTTATTTTATGTTTAAATTTGTAATAAAATAATACTAGTCAAAGAATATTGATCTCATTTATAAGGCGGTGATTGTTACCTAGCCTTTAATTGGTTTGATTGAAACTTAGAAAAATGTATATAAAGCTTTGAAGCACTCCTTCAAATAAATAGCATATATCAATCTTCATGCTAACAAAAATTGACATAAAAGTAGTATGTGCTATCTAAGGCATTGGTGACAGCAAAAGAAAAAAAAAAAAAGAAAGGAAAATTCCAAAAGCAAGTACATAATCACCATTACTGCAATATATGAGCTCACAAGTCAGAAATGTATGCTGCAATATTGGTTAGTAGGCACAGAGGGAACCCATAGAGGAGATTATGTTACAGCCTTTGGGCATTTGACGATTGATTGAAAAAGAGAGATGGTCTCCGGATTATGTATCTGTGTTTCATATGATATATGAATTAGCTAGTGGCATTTTTTGTTCTCCATACAGGGGCCTGCATCTAACCCTGAAGCAAATTGTAATTATTTCAAATGGGCTGCTTCAAAACCTCGACAAAAATGATGATCACTGATTTAGGTAATATGGATGTCAAGCTGTTAATTTCCTGCCTACCCTAAACTTAGAGATGGCGCAGTGCCGGCCATCTCAGTTTAGGAAATTTTGTGATCAAAATTATTCTTCTGGGAATCGAAACTCTCAGGCATAAGCTCGTGTTGTATTATTAGCTGTTTAAAGTTATTCATTTCCTTGTTTAGTGAATTGATCGCAGTGCTCCTCGAAACAAATATGTTTTCATATGAAATTTTTTATTATAAAAAAATTAGTCGTGGAGGAGAAATTCGGACTTGAAATATCTTCCCACGTTGAGAAGACATTATCTACCACTAAACCAAGAGCTGGTTTGTAACTAGATATCAACAATGATGCAATACAGGTCTCATCTATATCTGAACCACAAAGAGTAGCACTCTGATTGGACAAAGAATGTCAAATTTATTATTGTGTTAATCTTTCTTTTCATAACTTCAACATAAACAGCCAAACTTTGATTGGCAAATCATGGTGGCTGCAACATAATCAATAAGGAAGGAAGGAATATTATCTCTTGTTTCAGCATCAAGAACGAATGGTCACAGAAGATAACTCAATTATATTATAAAAAAATAAAAATAAAATAATCGAAAGGTTAAAAAAAACTTCTTCCATACAAATACCAATCAACAAGGCTGATAGTTAAGTGCAGTGATCGTTGAAAAGCATATAATATTAGAATGATAATGTGAAACACATCAGCAGTGCATGATAAACCCGCAACTTAGTTAAAGATAGGTTTTACATCATTATCAGGATCAGAGACTGTTAGGTTAGATTGTCTAACACAACACTAAAAAAGTCTAAGGACATGCAAAAGTTGAATGACAAGGTTTTACGGCCACAAAGAAGCAAACCTGTCCTTCTCAAATTATGACATTAAGGATTAGTCCTTACCCAAATCTTTGCTTCTCGGAAGAAGAAGAATGATGTAAAATCATGTGGATTTTAATATTCTTTGATAATATCAACTTTGCAAATTTCAATTTTCATTTACTCAGTTACGTGTCATTTTGTTATTAATGTGTTGTTATACAATCTAATTGTTGATAATATAGTAGAACCGTCGAAACTAAGTCGTTTTAGTTNGCGTTCAGTGTCGGCCTCACAATCCCCTCCATAATCCAACATTCTTAATCAGGTCCACACTTGTTGTTTGTCTAGAATGGCTTGATGTGGAAAAGCCGTTCGTTTAAAACCAGAGGCTCAACTCGAGCATCAAAAGATTTTTTCTGTTTTGATGTGAATATGTTGTTTTAAGTTATGTGTTTATGTTTCTGTGAATTCAATTCCAATTTCCAAATGGTAAGAAAGAAAGAAAAAAGAATTATACAGCAGGAACAGCCAAGATTTGAAGGAGGGTTTTGTGATTTTGTTTGAAATCGGATAACACTTGGCCCCTCTGTAATTATATGAGAGACGTTTGGAATAATGTACTCTTTTATGGACCTTAAGTTTGTAGCGGACTTGGTCAAGTGACTCTTGCTTGCCCAAAAGGCTACCAAAATTCACATGCATTATATATATTAATTTATTCTGTGATCACAATAATTTAGCTCCTTGTTTATATCTTCAGAAATAAATCCAGAGTAAAGTTGTGTTTCTCTCAAGGAAGGGACAGTCTCAATCAAAGTCTTCTCGGTGAAGGCAAGCTTCCTGTGTGACTTTTTAACCTTTGAATTCTGAGGCAAATAGCTAAAAGATCTAGAGAATTTAATTTCATCAAAAAGATAATAAAAGAAGAAGAAGAAGAAGAAGAAAAGATCTAATGGAAACTAGTGGTTGCAAATGACAGCCAGCACCCTTGTTGGGTCCCTTTCCAACGCTAGTACATCTTGCGTGAAAGGTTTTTAGATTCTTTCAGGACTTTTGCAGGCCGAAAAGCACTCAAGCCTTTTGCAAATGGGTTTGGACTCTTCGTTGATAACAGCTAGTATTCAATCATTCTTGGGGTTATGTCTTTTTCTTTTAACAAAAGTATATATAATCTTCTAATACACAAACTAAACTGAGATATTAAAGATTAATTAAATTTTACTTGAATTGATTTATTGTCCACAAGAAAATATCTGGACAAATTTGTTGGGATATTATTGGGCTCCATTCTAGCTCTGCAATTAAGTGGGGAGGGTTTTGTTATATAGTAGGTAGGTTTATAATATTTGTTTTGCTATCTCTCTCTTTAACACCCTTATTATGTCCATCCCTGTAAGTAGAGCTCCTACATTTCTATCAATGGCAGTATAATATATGTGTAGATGTTTTTTTGTGTGTGTATTTTTGATGAAATATTTTTAGAGATATTTAGTCATATACCCATTCTTAGCACTAATACTATAGATAAACCCTACACCATTTAATTTATATAAACAAACCCAAAAAATGACTGCTGGCCCTATTGAATTTAATTTTGATTATTAAATTACTTTGATACCTTATTGAGTATTTTGGGCTTTTTAATGAGGTTTTGGGGTTGGGTTTGTTTTAAGAAATCAATGATAATTTTGTAATTTAAAAGAAGTTAAAGCCTTTTCGTTATATTGTAAATGGGTTTTGAGTGTGTTTCTAAAGTCCATTTCATATAGGGTTTTTTTATATATAAAATTTAGGCTCCTATATTGGATATAACAGTGAATCTCCCATATTTTTACACATGTGTTAAACCGTGATTAACATAAAAGAGTAATATCTCCTTCCAGAGAAGGAGGTAAGCAGTATCCTCCATTAGTAAGGTGGATTCTCTCTTTAGATGGACTCTGCTTATTAAAAACTTAAGCATCAATTCATCCCCCTAGAATTTAAAAGGATAATGTGGTAATTTTAAGTAGTGTAGTAGGTTATTTTAGAAGAAGAAAACAAGTACCAGAGAATTCAAATTCCCTTATTATACTAGTGCAGATAGAATATAATCAAATAGTTAGTAAAGTCTAAAGCTTAGAGGGAAACATTCTATAGGTTTAGTGGAACATATGGATAGACTATAGAGGAAAGTAAGGAGTACAAATAGGAAATTTACAACTTGTTAAATTCAAAGACAAGATCATGAGTCATGACCATTAGGTTTTTTGTGTTTCCTACAGAAGATACTTTGCTTCATGGATATGGTTGAGTAACTTTTTCTAAATCCCTTTGCTTTATTTAATTATTTATTAATAACTAACCTCCACCAAAGCACTATTAGTTATCTGACCAGTTATTAGGTTTTCTAGGTTGGTTTAGGTGACAAAGACAGATGTTAACTTCTGTTTTGATTAAATGAATTGCTTATCTTTGGAGAAAAGAAATACTCTTTATTTCTGTGGCTAATATTGCTTTTCAAAATATTAAAAAAATGAAAACAAGTCAGTTGAGATTAGGCTAAACAATAATACTAGGGTTTAAAAAAGTTTTAAATTTTGATCAACGAATAACATAGGAGATGATATAGTAGTATGTGTTGCTAACGGAGTTTAATCCGATGAAAAATGACATTGACTTGCAGATCAATGGTCTCATATTCGAATCTTAAATCAAGTTTTAAATGCGCATATATATATATATGGCAAAATACAACAACATTAATTGGATCTAACATTTTAAATATGGGTGTAAATCGACTTGATACATTTCTATCAATCGACTTGATCAGTATTGAGTTTGGCTCGAATGAAGGAAGGGAAATGCAACCTTATCAAAGTTGTGGAAAAAGACCAAATGCAGAACTCATCCACCGCCATTTGTTATCAAGTTATGACCACCGAAATTTTTTTTTAAAAAAACAAATTATTATTATTGGATAAAATGTTCTGAGGAGTCGAGTCAGCATCAAACTCAGCCAAACTGGATAAGCATTTTCTTAGCCTAACCAAACACCATATTTAACCATAGTTACTCCGGCACAACCCAAATCCAAACCCGAACCCAAACACCCCCAAAACTCCCCAACATATAAAGACAAACACCCCCCTCCTTCCCTCTCTCTCTCTCCCTCAATCAAAAACTCACAACCGCAAACCAAAACGCACCGTACCATGCTCTCTGCTTCGACCTCGACATTCTTCGCCGCCCCAATTCTCTCCGCCACCCCTCCCCTTCCCAAAACCTCGACACGTGTATATTTCAGACCAATAAGCGCCTTCGCCGCCGGTTCCACCTGCACCTCGGACGAGACAGCTACGGCGTCGTACCTCGGCCCTCAGAAGATGACCTCGCTGTACGAGATCCTCGGCATCCCGGCTGTCGCCACGTGTCAGGAGATCAAATCGGCGTACCGGCGATTGGCTAGGGTTTGCCACCCCGACGTGGCGGCGAGCGAGGGCAAGGACACGTCGGGTGACAGGTTCATGAAGATTTATGCTGCCTACTCCACGCTATCGGACCCCGAAAAGCGCGCCGATTACGACCGGAAGTTTATGCGCCGGATCCGACCGTTGTCAACGGCGTCGGGATATTCCGGGTACTACACTCGGCGGAACTGGGAGACGGACCAGTGCTGGTAGCGAGTTGACTCACCGATTCCGAAATTGAAGGAATTCAATCCGCGAGATTATTGG